ATATATATATATATATATATATATATATATATATATATATATATATATATATATATATATGTTTTATAGGTTTACGCATTACTTGCACACATATCTTTATATATCTTCTGGAAAATGAAAATTGAGATAGAAAATTGAGAGAGACGTAAATGAGAAAGAGAGTAAGGAAGGGTGGGTGATATAATCGTAGGGTATTTGGAGATAAATGGTACATGCTATTCATGTTTGTCTTTCTTTTTTCTCTTTTTATTTTTCTATACATATATATATATCTATATTCCCCTGCCTTTCCCCGTTTCATAAATACACACACCATGCATATATAGACACACTCTCTCTGTCTCTCTCGCACGACTACGCACTCATGCACATGCACACACATACATGCACACACACACACACACACACACACACACACACACACACACACACACACACACACACACACACACACACACACACACACACACACACACACACACACACGTACGCACACAAACGCACACACACACACATGCACATGTACATACATGCACATATGTTTATGTATAAACACACACTCATCTAAGCGTGTGAGGAACCTGGTGACGGCCTAAGATAACACACGGGTAATCCCAAGGTCGTTTTCCGTTCACTCATTCTCTCATACGCTCATGAATTTTCACTCGAATGACGTAGATATGAATAAGCAGTGATAATAAGACGCGAGATTTTTTAAAAACGAACAGACGCGACTGAAGTAATTACCAAGACCGTATCATTTCATCATTAAATTTCCGCTGCCAAGGTGTCTGTTTTACCTGGGAACTTGTTTGTTACGTCACGGCTTCCTGTAGGAGAAAGTTGCCGCTCGGTCCTGTGAGAAAAGGAAATAAACTAAAAGGTGATTTATTTCTTTTTGTTTATCTGCAGGAAACACGTGACGCAGACGCTGACTCCTTGCGATGGTGACGCTCCTGCACGGGGTTCCTTGCCTCGCCTCTTCGCTCGCGGGCACCCCTCTCGCTGTGACGTCATCGCCTACCCGCTACGTCATCGTTGCATCATCCTCTTCTCGCTAGAGGAACGACCAATCGCCTCCCGAGAAAGGATGCCGTCATCGCCCCGCCCCGCCAGTGAGCCGCTTATGATAAATGCGTCATCGACTCCAGCGACCAATCAGCTGCGCCGACAGGACTCCGCGCGGGCATCAAGGCCGACGGCACCGCGGCACGGAGGCCCGCGCGCTGAGCCGGTCCGCGATGACTCATCGGTCGCGTCGGCGGCGGGCGACGGGGCCAGGGAGGCGAGTTTCCCGTTCCAGAAATCGAGTGAGGCGCCGGGGCGGCATCGGGGCAGCGGGCAGCTGAAGCGAGGGAGAGTGGCGTCGTGCCCGCCGTCCTTCCGCTCGTGCTCGGCCGCCGCGGCGATCAAGGCGACGGCGCTCTTGAGCCTCCAGATCACCGGGCTGAGAGTGAGGTCGCGGGACTCATGGCGCCGCTTCCCGAAGAAGGACAGCGAGAACAGGGCGCGGCGCTACCTCGTGGAAGTGGACGAGTGGCTGGGGACGCGGCCGCGGCAAGCGGAAGACCCGCAGGTGCGCCCCTTAAAGAGAAGTAACCCAATCAACGACGCTCGCCCCGCCCGCGCGCCCGTGGCCGATCAACGTGACCTGCGCCCGCTCGCACTCGATCGCCAGATCAGAAGAAGCGATATCGCCTCCCGCGGTCCGGGGGGCGCCGCCCTCCAGCCCCGCCCCGCCAGCGCGTCCCGCCTGCCTGCCCGGGAGAGGAGAGAGGCGCGCCCACTCCTGCGCTCCAAGTCCACACGGGGGACGCGCAGCAAGCGCAGGAAGAAGGACTCGTCAGGAGAACCCGCGACACCCAGCCGACGCCTCCAGCGAGGCAGTCCCGCCGCCCCTGCAGCGCCTCCGGCCGCCCACGCCGCCAGGGAGAGGAGCAGGAGCGACGACCCGGCCGCCCTCACGCCCCGGGAGCCCAAGGCGCTGCTCCGGGTGACGGTGCGGACAACGCCCGCGGCCGAGCAGCCACGCCACAGGAGCGACGGAGCCGCCCGCACTCCGGCGTCCGGCGAGCAGCAGGAGCGCCGCGGGACCCCGGGCCGCTGTGCGCACGTGTCGGGCGTCCGGCGGGAGAGCCCCCCGCCCTCGCCCTCCTCCCCGCCCCGCGCCACCTGCCGGCCGTCGTCGCCGCGCAGCCTTCAGTCGCTCGCTGGCCGCAGCCTTGGACAGAGGCAGTCGATCCCGCACGCGCCCCGACCCGCCTATATAGCGCCGCGCTCCCCCCTCGCACGCCAGTCGCTCCAGCAGCACTTGCAAGGCTACACGTGCTTCTCCTCGCCCGAAGGCATCTCGCTCCTGATCCAGCGCTGCCCCACCGCGCCCACCGACGACCCCCCTGCCTCCTGCTGCGACGTGCCCGCCTCCAGCAGCCACAGGTTGCTGCAGAACATCGCCTGCCAAGTGTCCCACCTGTCGGCCGCGGGGAAGCTCCCCCTCTGACTCCACACTGCCCCCCCCGGCGCCCGCTGCCGCCATGGCCAACGAAACGGATGTGCGACAGAACCTGCTCAACTGCCAGGTCAACGGCCAGGTCACGCACCTCAAGGGCTACCGCAAGAAGGGCCTCGTCAGTGAAAAGGTCCTCCTCGAGCGGCTCTCGGACATGAGCATCGAAGACGACCTCCTGAACCCGGTCATCACGCTGAGCTCCGTGGAGGACGACGATGACTGCCCGATGGAGGAGGGCTCGCCCAACCCCGCCGGCATGAAGGGCACGCTGAAGAAGTCGCTGTCCCTGGCGGTGCCGTCGCTCAACCTGGCCGAGGAGCCCAAGAGACCGCCCCTCTAACTGCCGCCGCCCGCCCTCCAGCGCCCTGGAGAACCCTCGCAAGTCTCGCCTTTTTTCCGAAAGAGAAGATGAAGGAGAACAAGACAAGAAAGAAGAAACCCACTTGGAGGAGACGCGTCGCTTTCTTCCCTGTCGTCGCGGATTTTAATCCGGGGAGCCTCGCCCGGGGACTGCCTTCGCCCGGAGGCCTCTCCCTCCCCCCGCCGCCCCCCCCGCTCCGTTTGTGCCGCCTCGCCCGCCGCCCGACGCCGCCCCCCGCGGCTCCGGCGGCACAGGACTCGGCGATCCTTCCGTCGTCGAGGGCAGGACAGGCCAGCAGGATGTGAAATTTGGATTCGATTTTGAGTTTCTTATTCTCTCATTTTTATTTGTCTTTGTTATCATTTCTATTCCTAGTGTGCGTGAGAAGATAAAAGCATGTCAAGACTCGTATTGTGCTGGACCGTCAGTGTTTTCGTGAAAGTGACCCGCCAAGAGAAAAAAAAAATGTGAATGGATGTTTCCGATACGTTGACGTTGATCTGTCACGCGGATGACAGCGACAGCTTGACAGTGACGGCGTGACACAACCGTCCGAGCGAAAAGAAAAGAGAGAGAGAGAGAGAGAGAGAGAGAGAGAGAGAGAGAGAGAGAGAGAGAGAGAGAGAGAGAGAGAGAGAGAGAGAGAGAGAGAGAGAGAGAGAGAGAGAGGAGAGAGAAAAAGATACGTGCAGCTATCACTTCATATCCGATTGCACTTTCAACAGCTGTGTTTATATTTTCTTTATATATATATCCTTTCCTTTTATTTTTTATTCTTTACCTTTACAGTTTTGTTAATCAACATTTCGTAATCATTTTAATTAAAAAATACGCATAACTCACTAGCGATTAAGGACAACATTTGGTATTCCATGAAACCAAAGCGATTGTAAAATGTAATGAAAGCTTGGTAGCTAGAATGAATGAAAAAAAAGTACTTGAGTGTTATTTTGCTAAATGTAAACACATCTGCAGACAGTTATATATATAAAAAAAAGATTCCATTTATTAAAAGCTGTCTTGAGAGAATGTGCTATTCCTCTTTCTGGAAGACATTACACATGGAATGTAAATAAAAGATATACATAATTTATAATCTCTGTACCTTGCGTGGTGCATTGTTTGTTGTAGCCAAAGGTTCCTGTCTTGTAGTGAGACGTGGACCCCTTCCTTCGCTAAGAATTACGAAACCAAGATGAATATTCACCTCTTGGGTTATGTAAAACGCCTTAGGAGAACTTCTGTGTATATAAATGTATTTGAGACATTTTCCTGGTGGACTTTTTGAAAGTCTTTTGAATGAATATTTTTTCTTATATAAATAATAAAAAAAAAGAAAAATCAATGAGGATTTTTTGAAAGAAATGTTATCAGGACTTTTTATACTGTATCCTTGAGTTAAGAACAAGAAAGAAAGAGAGGGAAAAATAATTGGTAATATATAATTTGTTTTAAGTTCAGATGATCGTCCAATTATACATTCACCTCCAAATATGAGTCTATAAACCGATGAATCTAATTAATAACACTGAACTCTTCATAAGATTAACTTGAATATGCCATGTTCACATACATATTCATACATAATGGTAAATTCACACACACACATACACAGACACACATGCAAACACATGCCCACACAAACAAATATAAATACAATATCATACTGCAATGACACAGTGTATTCAAAGCACATAGACAATGTAATTAGACAGAAAAGGAATAAAAAAATATATGTATTGTACATAAAGATAATTTTCTTTTGCAATGAATTAAGAAGAGTTAGATGACTTGTTTTACCGGAAATAAAATGCAAAAAAAAAAAAAAAAAAAAGGTTTTACACAAAGAAGTAATTTCCATCAGCCATAATAAACAAGAAAAAGTGCCTTGGCAATTATCCATCAAGCCAGTCATATAATAACTTAAAAGTAATTAAACTTTACCAAAGACTGTTTAGAAATTAAGAAAAGAGAGATGTATTCATTAGTCTAACGTCCGTAGCTTTTGATGTAGACATTGAAATTAAAGCATCTTATCTCGGCCAGACTAGAGTAAAGATAGATATTCAGCTTAGAAAAGTATCTTTGGAAGATTAGAGGTCAAAGGTCATTCCATTTTGATCTTCTTGGATACTGAGAAAAAAAAAGCTTGAGATACGATGTCTTTTTAGGTTTTAAAATTTCGTGTATTTTTCCTCGCTCTTGATTTACAGTAATAGATAGATATTGCTATATTGTCATATATATATATATATATATATATATATATATATATATATATATATATATATATATATATATATATATATATATATATTCTTCATTACAAAATCAATGTCAGTTTTGATGTCAGATGTATTTCAAAACTTTGGTAAAGTGTATTTTGATGTTATTTTTTGTATTTTTTTAATGTAATGTACTGTTGTGAAGCCTTATGTAGAAAACGGAGCTAGGTCCTGATATTCAGCATTATAGCCTGAATCTACAAAAAAAATATCTTTGTTCTATAAAGAAAACGAGATTTATTTCGATTTTAACAAACGAATTTGAGTCACATCATATCTCTATCTCTATCCCTGATCCTTCACATATATTAATTTGATATACGGTATGTTTATCAGCATATTTCTTTTTACAAGTGATGTACATATTATCCAAGAATACAGTATGTTTATTTATCTTTATCTTATATAGATGCAGGAAAATCAATGAAAATAGGCATCGTATATAAACCCATTATAGGTTATGTATTGTGTATATTTCTTGTTATATAATCATATGAATAAAATATGATATGAATAAAAAATACATTTCAATTCTGTGTCTCATTAAAAATTCCCTTTTCTGTTTCCATACACTGCAGTTAATCACCATAAAGCCACGATAATGATAACAAGATAATGCAATTAATTTAGTGATAATGAAATGACAATAATGATGTGATATCAACGTTAATAATAATGACACGATTATGACCTCATGACAGTAATAACGTGGCTATAATGACATATGAATAATGGCGTAATGATACCAATATTATGACACATGACACAAAGAAATGATGACATAAAAATGAAAAAAGATATTATGGTAATAACATGGCAGTTTTAACAAGGAAAATGATAATAATAACTCATAACTCAATGACAATAACTCATAACTCAAAAACATAATATGAATGATTTGGTGATAACTGATAACATGATAATAATGATATGATAAAATAATAGCAACATATTATCACAGTAATCAATATAGGACGGAAATGCGATAACAAAAAGAAAAAAAGGAAAAAAAAAGAAAAAAAGTCAAATGGAACTACGAACAAACAAATAAGGAAACAAACAACCAAAAAACAAATGACACACACATGCACACATACAAACAGTCACAGACACAAACACACACAAATTATAAATATATATGATATATATATATATATATATATATATATATATATATATATATATATATATATATATATATATATATATATATAGAGAGAGAGAGAGAGAGAGAGAGAGAGAGAGAGAGAGAAAGAGAGAGAGAGAGAGAGAGAGAGAGAGAGAGAGAGAGAGAGAGAGAGAGAGAGAGAGATAGTTAGTTAGATAGATAGATAGATAGATAGATTGATAGATAAATAGATAGACAGAAATAAGAATGTTACAAAGAGAAAGAAAAAAGATAGGCAGACAAACAGACAGACAGACAGGTAGAGAGAGTCAGAGAGAGAGAGAGAGACAGAGATCGTGAGAAACAAAGACAGAAAAAGAGACAAAGAAAGAGACAAACACACAAACACCGATAACTAAATCAACCAGGAACGAATGTGAATCAGAAACACAGACAAACAGACAGACAGGTATAAACCCTTCCATTCTGTTGCTATTATTAGTATTATGTATAACGCACCGAAAGGAGAGGCTCGAGGACGGTACAATGAACTGTAATTCTGCATTATTACGTAATCTGTAACCATTGATCGCATAACAGAGTGCAGTAGGGGAGGGTGAGGGGGGGGGTGAGTGGGAGAGATAGTATAAAGATAGTAATAAAAAAAGGGGTAGTTAGATAAATGGGTGGACGGATGTTTATAAAATACACACATATATATATATATATATATATATATATATATATATATATATATATATATATATATACATATATATGTATAAATATATATATATATATATATATATATATATATATATATATATATATATATATATATATATATATATATATATATTTATATATATATATTTATATATGCATGAATATATATATACATATATATATATATATATATATATATATATATATATATATATATATATATATATATATATATATATATATATATATATATATATATATATATATATGCACACACACACACACACACACACACACACACGCACACACACATATATGTATATATATATATATATATATATATATATATATATATATATATATATATATATATATATACATATATACATACACACGTATGTATAACGACAGAAAGGGGGAGAGAGTGTGAGAGAGAACAAGAGAAAGAGAAAGATATATATATATATATATATATATATATATATATATATATATATATATATAGAGAGAG